GCTCTGCTGGGCCAGGCTGGGGCCCCCCTGCGTTGACCTTGCCTGCCCAGAGCAGGCCCAGAGGCACTGGGTGAATGCATTGAGAAGGCAATTAACCCCCAAAGGGCATTGGCATGAACAGAAGGGCAACTGAGGAGCACTGTGGCCAGGCTGGGCAAAGAGCAATGGGTGCTTTCTGTCCCAGAGAACAGTAGCCTAATTCCCCAAGCCCAAAGGCAGGTATGACAGTGTCACTGCTGGCAAAGATCCAGCTGGCACTGCCCTTGCTCAGGCCTGCCTCCTGCCAGCCAGGTTCCCTGGACCTACTACAGGCAGGGATTTTATTCAGCAACCCCCTCCTTCACATTTCCCCCAATCCCTGAGTCCTCCCCTCCTCTCCCCCCACCATCTTTTCACACAAAACAGGCTGATAAGGGGAGTCACAGCAGGGCTACCACTAGCCCAGCAAGGTCCATAGCATGCTTAGAGACAGCTTCCTGTACAGGAAGGAAAGGGGAAACCTGCCTGCTGCTGGAGCCCTATCTTTCTGCTAATTCTGGAGCTGCCCTTCTTCCTCCCCAGGATATGGAGCATTTGAAAGAACTGGTGCACTACGGGAACTCAGCTATCCCAGTGCTCTGCAGAAAGCATTCCCACTTTGGCTGCACCTGTTCCACTTGCAGCTTCCTGGGAGGTTTCTGGCCCCCTCCACACTCAGGCAGCTGGGATGATGGACCAGCAAGGCATGGCCTGGAGCTCTGTCCGCCTTGGCCACATCACACTCTGAGGCACAGAACAGCTGGTAAGAACTGGAATTTCCTAGCAGGAGGGTGCCTCCTTCAGCCTGTGCCCATCCCAGGCCATGTGCCAGGCCCTAGCCCTTGTGGACAGGAGCATTACAGTGAAACCCTCCTGGCTCACAATGAATCTCTGCAGGCTCCTACCTGGCTTGTCCGGGGAGGCTGGCGATCGGCTCCTCTGCATCAGGGTTGTCACTGAAGGTGTCATATAGAACAAACAAGCAGTCAGCACTGGGCTCCAGACAAAGGGAGGCCGAAAGAAGGGAGAGCCCAGGGGTACACACAAATTGCTTAACGCAGCCAACGTGAGAACCTGGGCAGCCAAGAGAATGAGTTGGAGCCAGGCCTCAGCCATTCCCTGTCTGGCTGCACTCAGGCCCCAGTACAGAGAGCTACTTACGTGACAAAAATGGGGTAGATGAGGTTAGATGCATCAAAGGCTGTGGCTGCGGTCTGCCAGGAGCGCAGAACAGGGTGGAAGTAGCCGCTGTGGAGAATGGAGTCTGCCTGCATCTCGGAAACTGAGTCTGAAAGACCAAGAGAAACAAGAGGCTGCATCTGAGCAAGAGCTGCCAAAGCCAGAGATGGAAAAGACCTGTTCCTGGCAACCTGAGCAAGGCCATGCTCCAGGGGACAGACTAGAGGCAGCCCTCTTATAAGCACAGGGGGTCTATGCCACAACTCAGGTGATGGCACTGCCAGGAAGCAACTCCAGCCATGCAGCCTGACTGGGAGAGAGGCAGCATTGCCAAGTGGGCTGTAGTGAAGAGACCTGCATTCCAGAGAGACCTTCCCCTTTTCATGCCTCAGTTTCCCACCTGAGAAGCAGGGTTTGGTGCTGACTCATTCCTTCAAAGCACCCAGACTTCCATGGATGAAAATGCTAGTTATTAAACTTCCCCCATATATAACCACAAACCATCTCCCAGCACAGTGATGCTGTGCTGGACCCACCTTGTCAATCATGTACAAGGCACCCCAGGGGGCACCTGCAGGCACCTTCAGCTTGAAGAGCACCTTATAAAGCATATTTGAGGACTGCAGGAGTTGTGCCAAAGAACCAGGCTGTGATATTCCAAGCCAAGTGCACTGAAGCCTCCAGGTAACACACAGATGCTGCTGGGAGCTCCCCCCAAGAGATACATCATGCATGCATCAAGACTGCCAGGGCTGCCAACTGCTGTGTCACCTGCACAGCACCAGGGCTGCTGTCTTTCTGGTTACTAGGCCAGGACCCTTCTGCCGTCCTGGGCATGCTAGTACCAAAGTTTTCAGCCCTGGCTAATTTAGAGGGGTGGGTCCCAGAGAGCACATTCTCCCTGGTGCCCCGTGATTCCTCTCCTGTATCAACTACAATGGGTTTTTGGCACAGCTGGCCAGAGTGACAGAGCAGCAGGACTGCATGCCAGGGATAAAGCTTGTGACAGCAGCTGCCAAATTCAAGCAGCAAACAAGGCAAGAAGTAAAGAGCATGAGAAGTCACACAAGGTGATGTTTTGGGTCTAACGCCTGTGGAGTGGCCATGGTGACAAGCAAGCCTAGGTACCTGGGGAAACCCAGCTCTCAAGCTTTTCAGGGGGATAAAGCACTAGTGTCTAGCCCCACCATAGGATTTCTGCTGTCCCTGGCCCCTTGGCCCAGTGGTATGGGCCCAGGACTGAGTCCTGAACAGCCTGGACGTCAGTGGCAGACATTTGTGAAAACTACATTTTGCACAGGGAAGAAAAAGCAATAGACACAAAGCAGCTGCTTTGATCCTCCAGACCAGACTCCAACTGGAAGAGGCTTGCTGAGAAGAAAGGTCCTTGAAGGAGCTGGGAAATAAAGGCTGCATGTTCCCGGAGACGAGTCACTTTGTAGCAGTGCGGTGCCTCCTACTGTGATTACCACAAACAGGAACCCCTGAAAACAACAGCTGGAAGGGCACTTGCTTGTTGAGAATAGGTTCAAAGGCTGCAGCTGGCTCTGCAGAGCCATACCATGCATGCAGGCCTGCAAAACCTTCAATCACTCAAGAGCTGTAGTGGCATAGGCAGTGCCCTGTCCCCTCTGGCACAGCTATGTCGGGAATTCTGCTCCACCCCACTGCCAGCATGTACCTATGCATCTGGGGCAGGACATCAACCTGACCTGCTCCAGATAAAGCCTGTGCCCTTCAACTGCCTTGGCTCCAAACAGCCCTGAGATCCAGTGAGAGCAAGCTGGATCCAGTGAGAGCAAGCTTATCCCTGTAACCCCAAAAGGTATCCCTGCCCAGCCCCATCACACTTCTGCTGACAGTCAGTCCCCCCACCCCGCCCCGGTGTCCAAGGTCACACTATCTGCAGCACCAAGGGGAGCTCTGGCTAAGAGACTGTGTTAGAGAAACTGGGGGCCCCACCAGTAATGGAAGGGAAGTGGGCAAGGAAAACTGAGAGATCCTCATCAAAATGAAAGTGTCTTATCAGTTTTATCCAGGTACTCATCACTGCAGTGCCTGAACACCCTCACCTGTGCCATGCAGGAGGCTGAACTGGACAACCTAAAGGCCTGTTTTTGGCCTGAAGGGGAAGGTTGGGTCCAAATATGCCTGGTCCCAGTTGCCTGGCTATACTGGTCCTAGTTACCTGGCTGTACTGGCCCCAGTTAAGCCCTATGCCTAATTCAGGTGGCAACATCTGACCTGAATCCTGCTAGAGTTACTGCTGCCCTTCAGCAACTGAACAGCAGCTATGAAGCTGATCAGTCTTTCCACTTTCAATAAGTTACTACAGCTTGGAAAGGCCTCTAGCATCAGCAAGGCCTGGTCTGTCTGCAGACTCAGGCAGAAAGTTCTTTTTGTACCTGCAAGGGTGGAAGTAGAGAAAAGAATAGGTCTAAATTTTGCAGAAATGGCCACCTCCCAATCCATGCTCACCCAATCCCATGGCTCAGAGGTATGCAGTCATCTGGGTAGATATGCTGAAGAACCTTAGGCAGGCAGGCTTCTTTGGGTAGATGTGATATCTTTTATTAGACCAACTGAGCAGTTGGAAAAAAGTTCTTTGCAAGCTTTGGGGCACAAGCACCCTTCTTCAGGCATAGAAAGTCTCTGCTATTGTTCCGAGATCTCCAAGGAATGAAATTGACTAAAAATGTGACAGGAGGTCAGTAGATAGGTGGAAATTAGGAAAACAATGGGTAGAGAAGGGAGGAGGGGAAGGGGAACAAGGGGGAAATTGTGGGTGAAGGAATGCCAAAGGTAAGCAAGGGAGACTCAGCTGTAGTTGAGTTCTCCAAGGTAGAAAAGAGGCAGTCTGTGAAAAAGTAAATAGCTGAAAATTAGGAAGACAAAGGGGTAGAAAAGAAGGGGAGGAGAGGGGTGGAGGGGGGAGTGTAAATAGTAAGGACAGGCAGGTACCTGGCGAATTAAATGTCAGGCAGGTTGTAATGTGTCATAAATCCCATGTCTATATTGAGTCCATGATGTTTTGTATGCAGTAGATTTATGAAGAGAAGTTTGTAGGCTGGTCTACAAAAGGTGTTTTGTAAGAGCCTTAGGGGAATATGACAGCAATCATGCAAGTCACTGGTTTAGCCAAGGATCAGCGCACCAAAGGAGAGTTTTCCTGATGATGCATCTTCTATCCATAGTGCTTCTGGGCTAGGGCACTGTATGCTTGGTAACAGCAGTGCTGAGGAACCACCCATAAAGTATCCCACCTTATCTTTCAAGTAACCTGTGGCAGGGAAGGTGAGGTTACTTCACCTAACTTAAGTACTGGAAAAAGTAAATTAGTGTTTTTAAAACCATCTAATTAGGGTGAAGGTGACTGGACAGTTATGAAGTCAGTAAGTGGGGAGGGATGGGACCTAACACTATCAGTCCTAAGCGCATGCTGCCCTGTTCCATCTGTTCCAGAGGGAGCAGAAAGATAACGTTTTGTTCTGTGCAATATATGCAGATAACCTGCTGTCTGTACGGACACGTTTAAATTACACTGCAGACAGCCACCCTGCTCCACCCTCCACTCACACACTTGACGTAGCAAGAATCAGTTTGGCGGGAACTGGCTGAATAATCCTTATAACAGATGGACCTGTGACCCACTCTGCTGCAGATCAAGGCAAGAGTTAAGCACCTGGACTGCGAGGCAGCAGCTGGTGCCCCTGAGAACAGGGCTCTGGGTAGGATGTTCTGATCTCCTCAGTCACTGAGGAAAACAGGATTTGTGTTTGTGCCCGGCACAAAGGGGCATCGCATCAGCCCATCCCTGCAGGGTGAATAACCTCTGTGTTGACAGTGAATCACAGGCAGAAGTCCTGCAAGCCAAGAACCAATGGCTAGGAACAAACAGGGAAGGGCAGGTCAGGCATGAACTCCTGAAACAACAGATCAGCCCCAAATCTACCTTTTCTCTGCAGGATTGGGGTGAACTCTCATACAGACCTTGGATACAACCAGTCCAGGGACTATGACTTAGCTCAGCTGACTGGACTCACAGGCATCCCACTACAGGTGGAAGTGCTGCTTTAAGGCCAGAGCTACTGAAGGTGGACGGCTTCCTAGCACTGCTTGATGGGACAGCAGGATTACCAGTGCCCAAGAATGCCAATTATCCAAGAGCAAAGCAGCAGCTGTTTCCAAGCTAAAAAAAAAATACTGGACTTCCACCTTGGCTCTCAGCCCTGCCTGCTCAGCAGAAGCTTTGGTGAATACTATTTCCACCCAAACTCTGCCAAACATTAACTATTGCTGCCTTGTTTACGGGCATGAGATGATCCACGACCTCCTTCTAGCTGAAGCTGGTTCATGAGCCAGGGAGTTTGTCAGCTCCTAAGAGACGGGACAGAAGTCCTCGCCTGCGTGGCCCGGGCGGCCGGGAGGGCCAGCGTGTGCAAGGCAGTAGCACCATCC